CGTCCCATTATTGTTAACTGAGTTGTACATCATCCACTATCCCCCTGGGCAACATTCAGAATGGTTTTTTTTATATTGCTGTCAGAGGTGCAATAAACACACATTCAGTCCTGCAGGCGGCTCTTGACCCTTTCATCTCTCTGCACAGGTACCAAGAAGTAAACTCTAGACAGCCGTGAAGATGAGCAACGAAACCACCCTGGAGGCAGTCTCTTCACCCCCAGTCTCCTCCCCGCCCCCCCAAGGACAGCGTTACTTCGATCGTTTCTCCGAAGATGACCCAGAATATCTGCGCATCCGGAACATGGCGGCCGATCTCCGGCAGGACTTCAACATGATGGAGCAGAAGAAGCGAGTCACCATGATCCTGCAGAGCCCAGTGCGTAGAGAATGCCTGGCAACTGGCCAAAACTAGGGAGTGGGAGTCAGGGATTGTTATCCCCTGTTCTGTCTCTGTATCCTAAGACCTAGCTTCTCCGCTAGCGGGCTCTCTAATACCGCTGCCTCTATTTATTTGTTTGGATTGCCCAGCTCTAGAAACCAGCTGAAGTCAATAGGAGCTGCAGGTGCTCAGCACCTCTGCAGATCAGACCCACTGAGCCACCAAAATGAGTGGCCAGATTCTTCAAATCTCCCAGCACGTTGGGCGCTGAGCCCTTCTAAAATCTGGCCTTAGGCGTCTAAAGTTGGACATCCAAAAATGGAGACTCCCCCTGCCCCATTATTAAAAGCCCCTTCTGCAAGCATGAAGCTTTCTCCTCTTGGAGTGGTCACTGGGGCATGCTCTGTGCTTAAGGGACGGAGCATAGAGAGAGCAACTGATGCCCAGTGTCCTTCTTTAGGTGTTGCTTGTTCCCCTGTACCAGCAGGGCTGTGAGTGCTAACTGTGTTTAATGTGCGAGGCCGGGGAACCTGCTTCCCATTAAGCGCCTTGCCTTGGCGAGGAGCGCCGCCGGCTTTGTCAGGGAGATGCTGGCCCTGTCACGTTCACGGCGTGGCTGTAGGGCAGCGTGGGCGCCGATCTGTGAAATCGCTGACGATTCACTGCCTGCCATGCTTCTTTCAGTCTTTCAGAGAGGAGCTGGAGAGCCTTATCCAAGACCAAATGAAGAAAGGGAACAACTCCAACATCTGGGCCCTGCGACAGATCGCGGATTTCATGTCCAGCACTGCTCCCTCCGTCTTCCCCACCTCTCCCATCAGTATGTTGGTGGATAACCCTTCTCAGGGGCTGGAGGGGGGCGGGGAGGCCTGCCTTGTCGCCAAGTTACCAAACCGGGGTGGGACAGGGATTGCAGGATTCGGAAAGACAATCAAAGGCACCTATGGTGCCCATCTCCTAGTGAATTTCAGTTGGATGGAGGTGCCTAATTCCCCTAGGCTAACAAGAAAGTCTCAGCTATATCTCTCCCATCTCTGAGTGGGGTTGTTCGAAGCTCTCATGGTTTCCAGTGAAATATTCTCTAGTTCCACTGATTTCACATACACCCATACAGTGGTCAGCTTCAATGGCAACCAGCATAAGGATAAGTATCAGAGGGGTAGCCATGTTAGTCTGGATTTGTAAAAAGCAACAGAGAGTCCTGTGGCACCTTTAAGACTAACAGATGTATTGGAGCATAAGCTTTCGTGGGTGAATACGTGCGTCTGACGAAGTGGGTATTCACCCACGAAAGCTTATGTTCCAATACATCTGTTAGTCTTAAAGGTACCACAGGACTCTCTGTTGCTTTTTATAGCATAAGGATAAATAACACTGGGTTTGTGCTCCTATTTGCTTCTTTATAATGCACAAAGCAGGCCTTGAAGACTGTGCTTTGCTGACTCTATTTTGAAGGGTTTCCCCTCTTTATTTTTCACCTTAAAAATTCCAGGAATATCAAATCATTCCCTGCTTTTCCTAGAGGTCTCCTTGGAAGACCAGAGAACTGCAGCGGGAGCTTTTCTAGCCCTTAACTAAAGAAATGAGTGGCTGTCCCTTTAACAAAGAGAAGCTTCCGCCCAAGTGTCTTTTGTGTACTTGAGTTGAATAAGTGATGATAAAAGAGGTATTTTAAAATACCCTGAACACTATTGCCTAAAAAAGGTAAACATTAGAGTTGTCTGAAATTTTTTGTTCAACTGCTTTTTGATGAAAAACGCCTGGGTTTTTTAAATTGGAATGTTTTTCAAAAAATTGTGTGTTTTTTTTTGTTTGTTTTTTTAATTTTTCAGGTTTCTGATCAAGCAAAATGTTCCTCTTTCCTTCCCAATTTTTCCTCCCCTCCCCCAATTTTTTTAATGGCAAAGTGTAAAAAAAAAAAAAAAGAAGAGTTAGAGGAAAGGGGCAAAAAAAGGATGGGGGTGGGATCCTAAAAATAAGATCAACCCTAACCAATTGCATTTAAAAATGGAGCTAGGGAGGGTGCTCCCCTTGTGTTTTTATCCAGCACTCCCCAATCCCAGTCTAAGACTGGCAGTGATGGGTTCGGGAGTCCCACAGATCCTTCCACGGCCCTTGTGGGCTGAGAGGTAAGGTGTGAAGGCTCAGGGAAGGGAAACCACCATGGCAGACAACAGATACGGACTGAAGAGCTCGGGGTAGTGTCCTGCCTCTCATCTAGGGGAACAGATAGAGATTGGATGGGCCAGTGCCAATGGCCTCGAAGCCTCCTTGCTTCCCAAAGCACCTTCTAGCTAGGAGCCCCTCAAACCAGCTAACCGAGCTCTGCTTCTCCTCAGGTCTCTCCATGGTGACGCCCATCAACGACCTCCATGGCACCGAGTCGCTGTCCCTAGCGAAAGGGGAGCGGCTCATGCGTTGCAAGGTTGGCAGCATCTACCGACTGCTGGACCTGTATGGCTGGGCGCAGCTCAGCAACACCTACGTCACGGTGAGGGAGGAGCCCCAGTGGTAACATGGACATGGGGCCATCTCTGTAGTGAGGATGGAACAGGACTAGGGCCCTACCAAATTCACAGTCCATTTTGGTCAATTTCACAGTTGTAGGGTTTTAAAAATCGTAAATTTCATGATTTCAGATATTTAAATCTGAAATGTCACAGTGTTGTAACTCTAGGGGTCCTAACCCAAAAGGGGGTTCTGGAGGGGGGTTGCGGTATTGCCACTCTTACTGCTGCGGGTGGCACTACCTTCAGAGCTGGCAGCTGGAGAGCAGCAGCTGCTGGCTGGGAGCCCAGCTCTGAAGGCAGAGCCGCCGCCAGCAGCAGCGCAGAAGTAAGGATGGCCTGGTATGGTATTGCCACCCTTACTTCTGCGCTGCTACTGGCAGGGTGCTGCCTTCAGAGCTGGGCGCCCGGCCAACAGCTGCCGCTCTCTGGCCACTCAGCTCAAAACACAGCACAAAAGTAAGGGTGGCAATACTACAACGCCCCTACAATAACCTAGCGACCCCCCTGTGCCTTCTTTTTGGGTCGGGACTCCCAGTTTGAGAAATGCTGGTATCCCACGTGAAATCAGTATAGCATAGCGTAAAAGCACACAAAAGACCAGATTTTGCGGGGGGAGACCAGATTTCACACTCTGTGACGCGTTTTTCGCAGCCATGAATTTGGTAGGGCCCTACAGATGACCACACGCTGCCGCCGTCCTGCCTTTGCCCTGCACATCCTTGTGTGGAGCTGAGATGGAAGCGTAGAGTTCTTGGTCCTCCAGTTATCAGAGTGGACCAAATTTGTAGGTGGAAGGATATAAAGAGAGGGAGTTCCGATTGGGAGACTGATCTCATCTTTTCTATTAAACTCTGGCATCCCTCAGCAAACAGTAGACCATGTAGCCACTGCAGGAATGTCACATTTGGCACATGCCGTCTGTGCTGGTATCTTGCAGAAGCCAGTGCATGGTCCTTGAGAGGAAGGGGAAAGGAAAACCTCTCCAACCTACAGTGCTTAAGCACCCGGTCAGCGGTTTAATACTATAGGTGGGAGTTGGGGGTTCAAAGTGAATGATCTCATGACGTCTGCTCAGCTGTGTCCTGCATCAGATTACCCCTATCTTACATGCACATGTGCACGGTCAGAAAGCATCCAGCTGTGACTTCCACAGACTGACTTTACAGTCCTAACTTGGGAACTGCTCCTCAGCTGGTTAGATAAGAATTCCCTTTCAGGCCATTCAGTTGCTCACTACACAAAGTGGGCCAGATTCTTAGTGGAGCTATGCTGAGCATCTGGACCAGAGACAACTAGTAAACACAGCAAAAAAAAAAAAAAAAAAAAACGTAGTGAGTGGCATAGACACTACTGAGAAATGCCACATCCCTTTATCTTTGTGATCAAAGGCTAGGAAATCTAGCAGCTCCAGCACAGCCGCATGGCATGTGATCATGGAACATTCAGCACTAGACTCTTTGAATTTTTCTCTGTCACTGACTTCCTTTTTAGTTCAGCCCCAATTTCCAGCGTTTAAAGTTCTTGCCCATTGTGACCCCAGTGGTACAGTATTGAGACCGAGCTTGGTCAGTCACGTTTGACTTTCCCGGAGATCTGAAACCAAAATGAAATGCGGTGGAATCTCAGAGATTGGAGGCTTGAGAGGGAAATGCAGATGAAAGGAATTATGTTTGGTTTCTTAGTATTATAGGTGAACTTGGAAGGATCTAGCACCCTCCCGGATTCCATCCCAGCCCGCGCCTGAACGTCTACACTGCCATTTAACAGCCCCTTAGCCCACACCCAAGCCAGCTGTCACAGGCCAGCTGCAGGTTTTTAATTGCAGTGTAGATCTATCCCTAGTCCTGGCCAGGAATGGACCCTTGACTAAATGACATAGTTTGGAATGGAAATGGCTATAGAAAAGAGAGACTCTTAGTAATATGAAGAACTCAGAATGTGCCACCAGGAAAGTAAGAATGCACATGCTACTGAAAATTGTCCAGTTAACCCTAACTCGCCTCTTCTCCCCTTTCCCCCCCTCCCCCCCCGTGCATTTCTTTTGGTAGATGCGTGTCAGCAAAGAACAGGATCACTTCTTGATCTGCCCTAAAGGTCTTTCGTGTAATGAAGTCACCGCTTCTAGTCTGGTGAGTGTGCTAAATAACATCCTCTCCCTCCACTTTCTCTCTCTTGAGATGGTAAAGTAAATCCAGGCTGGTAAATCTGGGACCGCTTTGGAAGAAGCTGACAGCAAAGAATTCTGTATGACACGTGGTTTAAAAAAAACACAAAAATTATGATTTTTTTTTTAAAACAATTTCCCCCCCCCTCCCACCGTTTTTCTCAAAAATTTGAAATGCTCCAGAGTGGTTTGAAAACTGCGGTGTGAGTGGGAGAGAAATACATGTGGCAATCTCACCATTTTTTTCACCCTTTTTGGGTCAAAATTCAAAGTTTTACATTTTTTCATCACTGTTTTGAAACTCAACATTTTTTGTCCAGCTCCTATCTATAAGGAGGCCTCATCTGTTCATTGAGCCAAATCAGACTCCTGATGGACAGTGAACATTCAAGAACCACCTGATGGATGTTCTCTTCAAGCATGCATGGCACACAGTAGGTTGTGATCCCAACAGATGTCACAAGCCATACGGGAACGGGCTGAGTTGCTGTAAAATTGTAGGACCTGATTCTGTATCCCATATCTACCTCGCAGGCTTAATTCATAGATTCCATGGCCAGAATGGACCATTGTGATAATCTAGTCTGACCTCCTGTAGAGCCCAGGCCAGAGAACTTCCCCAAAATACTTCCTAGAGCAGATCTTTTAGAAGGGAGCACATTCGTTGAATGCAGAGCCACCTGGAAGGTGGATCCAACGGGTTGATGAGAGAGCACAGTGGTGTTCTGCAGATCTGGGGTGAGCCATGGGGAGTGTGAATTCCTCCCCTCCCCGGTAAATCTGCTGCCTCATTTCTTTCCTGCTGCAGATTAAAGTGAACATCCTGGGTGAAGTGGTGGAGCAGGGCAGCACCAGTTTTTCCGTGGACGCTAGAGGATTCGGCCTGCACTCAGCCATTTACGCAGCCAGACCCGACGTCAGATGTATTATCCACTTGCACACGCCTGCCACTGCGGCGGTAAGGAGCCCCATCAGTCATGCTGACGGGCCACGGTTTGCCAGGGTCAGCTGCTGTACCATTTGCCGTGGTTTGCACTGCAGCTATAGAGAGCTGCAGAGTTCAGCTCCAGCTCTGAACATCCTGAGGGTGGGGAATCCAGGGCTTCATTCAGGCTCATTGCTGATAACACCCTGCTCACCTCTGTGGTTTTGAGATCCGTGTGTGGCCTCCCCACTCCACGAGTCTCTCAAACATATCACTCCCTCAGAGGCTGATCCACGTCCTGTTAAAATCAGTGGAATTAACGGGGCCTCTGACACAGTGGTATTAAGTTTCATTTCCCTTTAGAAACCATATGATGTTTTTACAGATCCAGACTAACATAGCTACCCCTCTAATACTTAAATAGGATAGATATTTGCATCAAATAAGGCTGTTACTTTAGGAGCTAATAACAGCAGAACATCTGCTCAGGAGAATGGCCTCTTGTTTCCGGACAGCCACAGCATTTGTTGATCCTGGGACAAAACTCAAAGGCAGTGGCTTCGTTAGACCGAATGTCTAGCACAAGCCCATCTCTGCTAAGTAGCTTCATTCGTAATGGGTTATGAGAGACCAGTCCTTACTGAGGCATATTTTCCAGTGGGATTCAACCTGGTCTTTAAAACTGTACCTGGGACTTTATAACACCTCCCCAACCCCCTGAGCATGCAAATGGACTTTGCTCATGCAAAGATGAGATGGATGAAATTCACCCCAGTGCAACGGACTTGCATCCGTGTACCACTTTGAACGCCATTTAAACCCTTTGAGGGGCTAGAACTCAGGAGTTCAGAGTTCTGTTGCCACCTCGGTCACCGACAGTGTGACCTTGGGCAAGTCACTGAATGGCTCCGTGCCTCAGTTTCCCCACCTGTTCCGTGGGGATAATACTTCACTTACAGGGATGTTGTGAGACTACCTGCCCTCTCTTGCCCCTGGCATGCTACTGCTCAGGGGGTTTACCCAGAACTGGGCAAGGTCTGTGCTCATCCAGTCCTCTTTGCACAGTGGAACTGTGCTGTTTCTGCCACGCTGGAATGCTGCCTGGCCCCAGAGAAGGGGGCTCTATTTGCCCCTCACTTGAGCGCTTCTCTGATATGTTCAGGTTCCGTTATTTAAGAAATAAACATTTTTTTATCTCCAAACTTCATTTGATTCACCTTCGGTCAGTTGCTTTATGCTTCTAATGTGATGCAGGGCTGCAGAAACTGTGGGTGGGATGCGTAAAAGTAAGCAAAAGACGCGCAGCCCCTGGGAGAAGAAAGGCCAAAATATGTGACTGCTACAAAACTGCAGTTCTCCTGCGTTCCTTTTATTGGCACTGATAGCAGAGGCTAATTTTTCACACTGAACCTTCATTGCTTCATATGCCCGCGAACTGATCAGCTGATGCAACCGTTGGTCTGAGGGGCCAGTCCTGGGAGATGCTGGGCAACCTCAGCTCCTGTTGATTTCACTAAGACAGAGGAAGAAGGATGCTCAGGATACTGCAGGATCAGGGCCGTAAAAGTGCAACAACAGGCCACAGGCTGTAGGTTTGGCCACAGCTTGCAGGTTTGAAAGCTGAGCACAGACTTGACAGGTGCGTTAGTTTAAACATGAGCAGGGAACCAAAATGACACTAAACTGGGAGGAGTGGTAGATACGCTGGAGGGTAGGGATAGGATACAGAGGTACCTAGACAAATTAGAGGATTGGGCCAAAAGAAATCTGAAGAGGTTCAACAAGAACAAGTGCAGAGTCCTGCACTTAGGACAGAAGAATTCCATGCACTGCTACAGACTAGGGACCGAGTGGCAAGGCAGCAGTTCTGCAGAAAAGGACCTAGGGGTTACAGTGGACAAGAAGCTGGATATGAGTCAGCAGTGTGCCCTTGTTGCCAAGAAGGCTAACGGCATTTTGGGCTGTATAAGTAGGGGCATTGCCAGCAGATCGAGGGATGTGATCATTCCCCTCTATTTGACATTGATGAGGCCTCATCTGGAGTACTGTGTCCAGTTTTGGGCCCCACACTACAAGGAGAATGTGGAAAAATTGGAAAGAGTCCAGCGGAGGGCAACAAAAATGATTAGGGGGCTAAAGCACATGACTTATGAGGAGAGGCTGAGGGAACTGGGATTGTTTAGTCTGCAGAAGAGAAGAATGAGGGGAGATTTGATAGCTGCTTTCAACTACCTGAAAGGGGGTTCCAAAGAGGATGGATCTTGACTGTTCTCAGTGATAGCAGATGACAGAACAAGGAGTAATGGTCTCAAGTTCCAGTGGGGGAGGTTTAGGTTGGATATTAGGAAAAACTTTTTCACTAGGAGGGTGGTAAAGCACTGGAATGGGTTACCTAGGGAGGTGGTGGAATCTCCTTCCTTAGAGGTTTTTAAGGTCAGGCTTGACAAAGCCCTGGCTGGGATGATTTAGTTGGGGTTGATCCTGCTTTGAGCAGGGGGTTGGACTAGATGACCTCCTGAGGTCTCTTCCAACCCTGATATTCTATGATTCTATGCTGATCTTCCCCTTTGTTTCCTGCGTTCTCTCTGTTCGCCAGGTGTCTGCCATGAAATGTGGCATCCTGCCTGTATCCCACAATGCATTGCTGCTGGGCAACATGGTGTACTTCGATTTCAATGGAGAGATGGAGGAAGAGGCAGACAGGATTGAGCTACAGAAGTGCCTTGGACCAACCTGCAAGGTTAGGAGAAAAGTCACGCTCCTCGGACTGAAAGATGTTGTGTCTGATCAGCTGTCGGGCTAATACAGCTCAGCGGAGTTGCTCTAGGAGTGGGTTTGGCCCAGTAATATTTTCATTGGAGATGGGCTGAAGAGGTGGCGTTCAGATCTGGGTCCAAACCAGGCCTGGGCTGGGGTTTGGGTTCTGGTTTGCGGTCCTGTCAGGGCTTCACATTCTGACGTGTCGTAAGATTTTGGCCCGTCATATGGCTAAAGCACCAGACTGAGAGATCTGGGTTCTACGGCTGGCTGGGCTATTGCCCTGCTGTTTGAGTTTGGGCCTCCCAATTGCTTTGTGCCTCTGTTTACCCATCTGTGTCCTGACATACCTGGAGGAGTGCCACATAGATTAGATCCTGACACAGCAAGAGGAGTGCCACACAGATTAGATTACAAGGAAATGGCCAATAACCCAGGCGAAGTATCAGAACTACTCAACATCTGGGAAGTTACAAAGGTGTTAAATTGCTGTCACTTTTTACAGAACCTGCCATTCCGAATGTGAGCTGAAATAGTCGGCAAGTCATTCTAGGGACCTTCCGGTGCTGGGCAAAAACCCAGACTTGTCATTGGACTGTGTCTCTGAGCCTCTTTAGAAAGAAATGAATTCACAGTGTTAACTAGTATTTCATTTTCCCCGCAGATCCTGGTGCTGCGAAATCACGGCGTGATCACTCTGGGAGATACAGTGGAGGAAGCTTTTTATAAAACCTTTCACTTGCAGGCTGCTTGTGAGATCCAGGTGAGCAACTCCACCAGGGCAGCACGTTGGAATGAGCATCAGCCCTTGTCAATGTGTTTCCAAGCTCGCTTCTCATTACAATGCTTTGTTACTCTGCTCAGGGCACTGCACTAGGTAGTCTAGATGAATACTCCATCTAACCAGCCACCCAGGTACTTATGATTCTTGTCACTGTAAAGTTGGAGTGTCTCCCATAAGTTAAAGACAAAACTATTTGCTCTTTTTCCCTTCCCTACCACCAGTATAGACTGACAGACTCAGGGTGATAACTTGCTAAGACAGGACTGCATTGTGTCTGGTATGCCTAATATGGGGAGAGACCCAGGATCATTACAAACCCCCTGTACCAGACACAATGAGTCCTGTGTTTGCAAGGTATCACTGTGGTATAAACTGCAGCGTTCTAAAGCATCCATCCCAAATTTCCAGCCGCAACTGTGGAATACTCTAGTGCTTGGTGCAGATGGTGGGCTGCAGGATGGCAACATCTTGTTTTGACCCTGGGGAGATGTCCCGCAAGGAGCAGATTAAGGTTTGCACTGTAGGAGAGTGCTGCAGAGAATACAGGTTTCAGAGTAGCAGCCGTGTTAGTCTGTATCCGCAAAAAGAACAGGAGTACTTGTGGCACCTTAGAGACTAACAAATTTATTTGAGCATAAGCTTTCGAGGGCTACAGCCCACTTCATCAGATGCATAGAATGGACCATATAGTAAGAAGACATATATATAGTAAGAAGTTGACACCTTCTTGTCAACTGTCTGGAATGGACCATCTTGTTTATCACTACAAAAGTTTTTTTTCTTCTGCTGATCATAGCTCATAATTAATTAGCCTCAGAGTTGGTATGGCAACTTCCACCTTTTCATATTCTCTGTATGTATATATATCTTCTTACTATATGTTCCATTCTATGCATCTGATGAAGTGGGCTGTAGCCCACGAAAGCTTATGCTCAAATAAATGTGTTTGTCTCTAAGGTGCCACAAGTACTCCTCATTCTTTTTGCAGAGAATACACCAATTCAATCTGGCCTGATCATTTATCTCCCTCTACTGGGCAATCCCTGGAACAGACTTCAGGATGGAAACCAACTTCCTTTTTTTTTTTTTTTTTTTTTTTTTTTTTTTTTTTTTTTTTTTTTTTTAACAACTTTATTTACTGTCATGGCTTCCAGTCACTCCCAGCTTAATCTTGAGTTTCAGCTGCTGCCCTGTTATTTGAATTGGGCCTTTGCCTTCTCCTCCGCTATTGCCTGTTGTTTTGGGGTGGGATTTTCAGAAGTGTTCGGCATTGGCCTAGATGAGTTCCCACTGAAGTCTCTGGGAGCTTTACCACTGACTTCAATGAGAGCAGAGATTAGCAAATGCTGATTTGGAAACCTCGCCCTCTAAGCCTTCAGAGCTCAGCAAGAGCTCAAATGGGGACACAAAATGAGTGATGTTCTGCATCGCTTGCGGCTGTTATTCATTATTTATATGGTGCCATAAACGTGTGTGGTGCTTTCATAGTGAATAAAAGACAGTGGCCCTGATTTGGCTGTTGCATACACCAGTGTAAATCAGGAATAACTCCACCAAAGTCAATGGCGTTACACCCATGTAAAAACCAAAGTGTGATGTGAATCAGTCCCGAAGAGCTCACAGTCGGAGCGAGGGTGTAACATGGCAAGGGATGGTATTTCAGGCATAGTGCGTGTTCGCTGGGCTAGCCTGGGGGGGCATTCGCCTTCAGTACACCGTCTAGGCGCACCTGTACAAACGCTTTGAGACAATGGTGGTGCAAGTTTCAACCTGAGCCATGTCCAGAAAAAGTCTTTGGCTTCAAACCCCTCACTACATTGGAGCTGCAGTTATTGTAGTTAAAATGATTAGTCCTTATTATCAAGCACCATCAATTCCACAGATTCATTTCTAGGTGTAGATCAGAGTAGAGTGCTTTGCTCGCACGCTGGAGGCTTTTGACAGATGTTGAAAACACCCGAGGGCACCAGTGCTTTACTCCACACCTGCCTCTCTTACCCTCTTCCCTCCTGCCCTGTCCCCCTCACTCTCCTTCCTTGCAATGCCCCCGCTCCCTTCTCTTTTCTTTCCATTTAGCTGATCCCCTCCTAACTAAAAATGGAACATGACATTGGCTGCCACCACATTGTTCACTCCGCTTGCCTGTTATGGCCTTTCCCCCATCCTGTGTTTGTCTTGGGTGTTTCGCTTGTAAGCGCTTCAGGGCAGGGAATGGGGAATACTACAATGGGGCCCATCTCTTGGTTGGTCCTTAGGACACGAGTGTCATAAACGTGATTCTGTATAATAATGGTATCAATCAGCACATCTAGAAAGCTATCCTCCCTCGGATAATCAACGTTAGCCACCCAGAATGTTAACAGACAAATGCCCTCAGCTCTGTCACCAACTCAAATTGCCCTGCTCTGTCCTGCTTCCCAAATCCCCATAAACATAGCACACACACACAAAATACAGCATTGGTCTCAATCTGAGCAACCCAGACAGAGTCAGCAGGATGCACTGAGAAGAACAGAAAAGGGAATAAACAGGGGTTGCACTGTTAATAGCTTCTTGTTGGCCACGTGGAGTAAACCGGTTTGTAGGAAGAGTTTGCATTAAGAAAGGACAGTCGTCCAGCCGCTCAGGTTTTCCATGCATGGAAGGGGTGATATGGACATGTTTGTGATAATGCCACAATCCTCAGAGCTTGGCGCTGTTATCAGCATTGGATTCGCTGAAAGCATCAGTGCTCCAATCTCTGTCCTGGCTCCGTGCCTACAGCCAATTCTCCTGCAGCCCCACCTACAGCTGTTGTAGATTTCCTTTGTGGGTTGGTTTTTTATTATTTTTATTTTTTTAAACAGTGGCTTGTCAGCAAAGCCTGAAAATGCAGTATGAGGATGCTGACTTTCTTCTGCTCCGCTCTTCCCGCGCGGTGCGGGTGCGGCTGTACTGAAGCGGCGGGTTTGGTTGCACTGGTTAGGCAGCTAGCTTGCAATCAGTGTCATTTATTATAAATGCCGCTGTCCTCCCCTCTGCACATCGACCTACTTCTTTAGCTGGGAAAACGAGGTCAGCAGTGCCTGCTGAGGCCTGGCCCCTGAGCCATCTGCAGGTGAAGGGCTGGGAATACATGCGCTCTGCAGACTGCCTCCTTCCCACATGCAGCCTTGTTGACGCTGCTACTCATGGGCCCTGCTGCCTGTTTCCTGTCTCTCCTCTCCGCCCCCGCTCTTTACTCCCTAGTCATTAACTCCCCAGCGCAATAGCGGCATTTGAATGCCCAGTGACTCCCGAGGCTGCTTGGCTTTGTTTCCAAACCGGCCTGCGCTCTGCCTCTGTGGCTGGCAGGCGGGGAGCGTGCCGGGGTCTGGGGCTGTTACAGATGCATCTCGACCTTCTGAAATACGGCAACAAGCGCCACGCAGCTATTTCAGTGCCGTCAGCTGAGGAGAGGAAAAGGTCGTCAGTAAATAAATGAATTGGGACCGATGCTGCAAACCATCCGGGTGCCTGAGTAACATGCACGTTTACAGGATTAGGGTCTCACATGGCAAGCACTTCAGGGCAGGGGACATTGTTTCCATTCGGGGGGAGAGGGGATGCGCCTGGGGCCCGGGCCAGCCCCCATGGGGGGTGGGGAGGGAGTGCCACCCAGCTCCGCTCCTGATCCTGGCTGCCAGCCCCATGCTCACGGCTCCACTCCTGGTGAGGCTCCGCACCCGGGACTCTGCTCCCAGCCCCGTGCCTGCCCCCAGCTGTGGCCCCAGCCTCATCCCCCTTACCCCTGTCTGTGTCCCCCCATCCCGGAGCTGCAGCCCTGGCTCCAGAGGGTGGGAGGGGGGCATGGACAGGGGTAAGGGGGGCACAAGGTAAAAAGTTTGGGGACCACTAGTGTAGGGTAACTCTGGCACGCTCCCAAGGCTGGGCTGGCGGGTAGCTGCTGCAGGAGCCAACTCTAGCAGCTTTATTCCATTCAGGAGCTCCCTTCCACCAAGGGAATTCTCTGCTAGCCAGAATCCTTCCCCTTTCTGCAGAGCAAACGGGGGTGGAGCATAACCAAGAATCTGGCCCTTCCTCAGCGGCTTCTCCAGCTGCGCCTGTGTTGCTGTAGTCTCTGTGCTTTGCTCTAGGTCTCTGCCTTGTCTAGCGCTGGGGGAGCTGAGAATCTGATTGTGCTGGAGCGGGAGAAGTACAGGCCCCACGACGTTGGGTCAGTCCGATGGGCCGGGAGCACGTTCGGACCCATGCAGAAGAGCCGCCTGGGAGAGCATGAGTTTGAGGCCCTCATGCGAATGCTGGACAACCTGGTAAGTCTCCAGCCGATTTAGCTGTGGCCCATTCCTCATTCTCCACACTCCCCTTCCGCCTGCCTGGAGACAGCGCAGATACGTCTACACAAGCTCCAGCTCACATCTCCAGTTGCAGTGTAGACGTAGCTTCAGTATCTCACAGGATGTGTCCCAGGCCAAACAAGCAGTTTGCTTTCCTGCTAAGGAATCTGCCTCGAAACATCAGGCATGCCAGCTGAACAGACTACAAATCCATTTCGGGACATCGTTAATGTGCTCTTCCTGCCTCTGGGGGAGCCAGTTTTCAGCAGTACATGCTGCTTATCTTGGGAGGGAAGAGGAAAAGATCTGGGATGTAGATACAGGGCCGGCTCCAGGCACCAGCCCACCAGGCTTGTGCTTGGGGCGGCACCTGGAGGGGGGCGGCGCGGCGCTCCGGCCGCCGGGGAGAGCGGGGCCACGGCCGGGCACCTGGAGGGGGGCGGGGCGGCCGGAGGCTTTTTTGCCTGGGGCGGCAAAAAAGCCAGAGCCGGCCCTGTGTAGATAGCCCGCATTTGACCATAGGGAGATGGGCAGATAGCAGAGCTGGCCAAAAATGCTTGAATGAAGAACTGTTTCAAAACAAAATGGCCTTTTTTCAAAACCATTAAATGTGACAATCTTAAATTTTATACTGGAGGTTGTTTGTTTGTTGCAACGCTTTTAAAATGTTCTCTTACCAGAAATGTTGTTGCAATCATCATCAAAACTTTCATTCACTGAAACCATTCCTAAAAACCAGGATTTGGGTAGACAAAAAATGTTAATAAAAATTTCTGTGGTTTTGCAAAAAGGAGAAAAAGAAGAATCAGATCAAACACTAGATCTGTTTTGAACCCCGTGGCATTTTTCTCTAACCTTTTCCCGCCATTTTTTGCCCAGTCCTAATAGCTAGAGCAGTGGTCCCCAAACGTTTTACCTCACGCCCCTCCCGGCCCCTGTCCGCACTCCCCCTCCTGGAGTCGGGGATGTGGCTCGGGGAGGGGACCCGGACATGGGGAAGGGGGCCGGGGCCACATCTGGGGCCAGCAGCCGGGACCCTGGGCATGCAGCCGGCAGGCGGGACCCCAGGAACGGGGCTGGCAGCTGGAGCTGGGTGCGGGGCCGGGAGTCAGGGTTGGGGCCAGGAACAGAGCTGGATGGCACTCCCTGCTGGGCCCCAGCCACGCCCCCCTGAACGTTCCTCCGCACCCACCTAAGGGGACGCGCCCCACAGTTTGGGGACCTCTGAGTTAGAGTTTTCCAAGTAAAGAAGCATTCTGTTTGTGTCCTTCCAGGGTTACCGAACAGGCTACACGTACCGGCACCCTTTTGTCCAGGAGAAAATCAAGCATAAAAGCGATGTGCTGATCCCTGCCACCGTTACAGCATTCGTCTTTGAGGAGGAGGTTGCTCCCATCGCCACCCTCCGACAGCATGCCCAGAAGCAGCAGAAGGAGAAGACCCGCTGGCTAAACACGCCCAACACCTACCTACGGGTGAACGTAGCTGAGGAGAATCAGAGAAGCGCGGGCAGCCAGCGGACTAAGACCACGGTAAGGGGGAATGAGCTCTGTGTTCTGGGTACAAGGCACTGTCATAAAAGAACCTGGCCAACTTCCTCCACAACAGCGGAGCGCAGCGGGTAAGGAGTTAAAAGGACCAATAGATGCTTGGAGCCGATCTAGACATTCTCATGATGTTTCTGGTTGGACTCGGTAGACCCCAAACGCGGCCTCTCCCAGAGTAACTGTGGCTCAGGCCAGAACCAGAGTAGGACAGCCTGTAAATCGTTACCTTCAGGTTTTGGGGGAAGGTTTTGGGGGGAAGGGGCAGTTTTGCATTCAAACCAGTTCACCCATCCCTGAAAACAACCCCTCGGGTTCCAGGCAGCAAAGCTGCTTTCCAGCAGCAACAGGTACCAACAGGCTATTAGCCACGAGGGTAAGGAATGGTGTCCCTAGACTCTGTCAGAGGGTGAAGATGGATGGCAGGAGAGAGATCATTTGATCGTTACCTGTTAGGTTCACTCCCTCTGGGGCACCTGGCATTGGCCACTGTCGGTAGACAGGATACTGGGCTAGATGGACCTTTGGTCTGACCCAGTACGGCCATTCTTATGTTCTTATGTTCATGGGGAGCCCTCGCAAAATTGGCGACTGGTCTGTATAAAAATGTTCGCCTTCCTCTTCTACTGGGAGATGCGCTAACCAGCTGGGGCTTCTACCAGAGTGGAGTCACCTGGGGCATAGACAGGAAGAGTGGGCCAGTGGTGAGGGTGCTAGCTTGGGGCTCTGGAGACACCCGGTCAGTCCCTTACTTTGCCACTGACTTCCTGTGTGACGTTGGGCGAGTCACTTAGCCTCAGTTCTCCATCTGTACAATGGGATAATAGCCCTGCCCTGCCTCACAGGAGCATGGAGGAGAAATACGTTAAAGGTGGTGAGATGCTATGGTGCTGGGGGCCCTACAAGTTCCTAAGCTAGATAGACATTTGGATAGGGATTTAACAATTGCTTACTAGACACAAGTCAAGGCAAAACCCTAAAGCTACGCACACCAGAATCCAGATCGATGGAATTGAACCCGAATGGGCTGAACCAAAACCTTGAATGTCAGGGAAGGGGGTGGGTTAGATCTGAATCCAAATTCAGATTCCTGAATTTTGCAGCTGGCCCCTCTCTCTATAAGGGACTTTACCCAGCTCTGAATGTCTACGAAGTTTGGAACATCCAAAATTCTGTGATGGGTCAGAAACTCATAGGCTGGGCCTATATGTCTCCTGGGTCTTAATGATACTGCAATTCCGGGCTTGATGTATTTTCTTTGCTCTTTCCCTACCCTATCATTGGTACGGGCCAGTGGATGAAGGCTGACGAGGTGGAAAAAGCCAGCAGCGGGACCCCGATCCGAATCGAAAACCCCAACCAATTTGTGCCTCTCTACACAGACCCACAGGAAGTGCTGGAAATGAGGAACAAGGTGTGGCCGCTCTCAGATGTCTCTCTTGTCACCCCATGCTCTATGGCAGGTCTTAGTTTCCAGGTGGCTGAGAATCAGTAGATTCCTTTGAGACTCCAGTGACCTGACTTTCCTGCAGCTGGTGGGGGAGCAGATGAGCCACTTCCTTTTTACATTTTCTCTTCATTTTACATCAGCAAGTTTAGTGCTGGTGGCGAGGTCCAGACTCGCCACTTTGAAGTCCTCTGATCACCACCAGAGCAGGTACCAGGGTAGTTCACCATATACCCCTTCCCCAGCGTTGCCTTGTAAACACGATTCAGCCCTGATCAGAATGAACCACCTCTAGGTTAGAGGGAAAGTCCCTCTGTGACCCATTCAGTGCCTGGCCTCCTGGCTGAGACGGAAGTTCCAAATAGTGCCAGTGTCATGCTAAACCTCCCTGTCCTGTAGGAACAGGGCTGAGACGTGCTGGCTTGTTTCACGTAGGCCAAGGACCGGGCATTGGATGGCATTCAGTCGCTACTGAGCTAAACTGGATTCAGATGGGCAGCCAAGGAGAGAGAGATTCTGGGCTTGACTCTCTACTTCCTTGCTCCTTGTGTCGTCGTTGATACTGGTGCAAAGAGCTTTTTACGCTCCCTTAGTCCACGTGTAAAAGTCTCTCCGAGGTGCAAATCAGTGGCAATTCAAGGCCCGCTCTATTACTGTGCCCCTAAGCCAGCTAGGCTAGACTTTTTTTTCAGCTCTTTTTATTTATTGGCTGATTTTTCACCCACAGATTCGGGAGCAAAACCGCCAGGATGTGAAATCGGCAGGACCCCAGTCCCAGCTCTTAGCCAGCGTGATAGCAGAGAAGAGCAGGAGTCCGGTACTCTAATTAATGAAGGGGCTAGCTTCACGGGGAATGTTATAGTGCAGTAAACATCCCTGCTGTCCTGCAGCTCTGCCGAACGAGGCAGCAGCCGTGTGTGGGTTAAGGGTGAATAGAATCATAGAATCACAGAAGATTAGGGTTGGAAGGGACCTCAGGAGGTCATCTAGTCCAACCCCCTGCTCAAAGCAGGACCAACACCCACTAAATCATCCCAGCCAGGGCTTTGTCAAGCTGGCCTTAAAAACCTCTAAGGATGGAGATTCCACCACCTCCCTAGGGAACCCATTCCAGTGCTTCACCACCCTCCTAGTGAAATAGTGTTTCCTAATATCCAACCTAGACCTCTCCCATTGCAACTTGAGACCATTGCTCCTTGTTCTGTCATCGGCCACCACTGAGAACAGCCAAGCTCCATCCTCTTTGGAACCCTCTTTCAGGTAGTTGAAAGCAGCTATCAAATCTCCCCTCACTCTTCTCTTCTGCAGACTAAATAATCCCAGTTCCCTCAGCCTCTCCACATAAGTCATGTGCCCCACCCCTCTAATCATTTTTGTTGCCCTCTGCTGGACTCTCTCCAATTTGTCCACATCCCTTCTGTAGTGGGGGGACCAAAACTGGACACAATACTCCAGGTGTGGCCTCACCAGTGCCGAATAGAGGGGAATAATCACTTCCCTCAATCTGCTGGCAATGCTCCTACTAATACATCCCAATATGCCGTTGGCCTTCTTGGCAACGAGGACACACTCCTGACTCAGATCCAGCTTCTCGTTCACTGTAATCCCCAGGTCCTTCTCTGCAGAATAAGCACGCGGGCTCTAGCTGTGGAGCTCAGATCAGGGGAATCCTGATGGTGATGTGTTGGTGTTGAAGTGGGGGGCCTCTCTCCCTGCTCAGAGTTGGAGTGGAGCTGCCCCCACCCCGTTAAAACTACACTGTGCCCCAACTCCATGGATGGCAGTATCAAATGGAGACACAGAGTAATGGATCCACTAGCCCCACTCCCCATAGCAGCCCCCTAAGATATTTCTCCCACCCTGGAGCTGAGTTCATGCCACACAGGGCTTGTGTGCCTTCCCCATAACCCGCTCCCTTTGTGCATGGTGGAATCGCACCAGTTCTGCTGCACACGGGGCTTTGCTCCCTGCAGATCAAGATCGGCGTTGGTGAGAACAAACACTTAAACCATGGGTTGGGCTCCTAGAATACTGAGCCTCAGGTCCATGACATAAGAGGATCGCTAGCCCACAAAACCCACTAAACCTTATCCCCAGCCCTCATGCTGATGGCGCAATGTCATGTCTGCGGTTGGTTTCAGTCCGCGGAGAGTAACCTGGCTTCCAAAGCAGACACGGAGACAAAAGAAGAATCCCAGGAGGAGATACCGACTGAGCCAGAGACCCCCAACCCGTTCAGCCAGCTAACCGACCAAGAGCTGGAGGAGTACAAGAAAGAGGTGGAAAGAAAGAAACTGGGATTAGACGGTAAATAACCGGAGGGAGCGGCCATGGCTTTGTTCGGTCACGTAAAGTGTGTGTGTGTTGCGGGGGGTTAACTAGGGCACTGGCCAGGGAATCCAGGTTCTTGTCCTTGCTCTGCCTGGTTCAGAGCAGAGTCTTTCCCCCCAGATCACTGTGAATCGAGCAGAGCAGGGACTTCATCTGGCTCTCCCACATCCCTGTGTATGTACAGCGCTCCCAGAAAAACCTCCCTATGGAAACCGATACGTCTTCAAAACATTTGAGCTTGGAGGAAATACGTTCCAATTAGCCATACCCAGAAGACAGGCGGGGAGTGTGTCTTTTGGGATCCCGCCCCCCATCTTTTACATAGCACTTGGATGTCTTCTCTGCTCCTAGGTGAAAGAGACGCGAGCGTGGAGGAATCTCAGGCTTCTCCTGTGAAGTCTCCCTGCGCTTCCCCACAGCGAAGCACCACAAAGTCTCCACCAAAGAGCCCACCCGTGTCCCCCGTGAAGTCCTCAGACGGTAAGCTGAGCCTGCGTGCCAGGCAGTGGTTATGCTGCATGGCGGGAATTGGAGCATTTGGGGTACTGCCTAGGGTGGATGCAGCAGTGTTCCTGCAGTTGCATCCTGAGATAAACCTGAGCCCTGTCACATGGGCAGCAAGGCATGGGCATACTGTAGGCTTGGAGGGGCATCTTCCACCAGTGGAAAGATAATCCAGTTCTCCTTTTCTTTGTTAAAAGGAGGGTGGGTTATTATGGCCATAAATTCTGCGCCACCTTTGTCCCAACAAATCACACAGGAGGCCTTTGGAACGAAGATGTCTATTTCTTTATTATTTGCACCGCAGGAGTGCCCAAAGCCCTCCCCCGGAATAAGCTCTCCATTGTGTTAGGCGCTGTACAAACCCATGGAAAGACACAGCCCCTGCCCCAAAGAGTTGGCAATGTAACTTGAAACGAGGCGCAACCAGTGAGCATAACAATACATGTAGTAAGAAACTGCTGGCTATGGACCTGATCCAAACCCCATTGAAATCAATGGGAGTCTTTCTACTAATTTCAGTGGGCTTTGGGTCAGTCAAATGTGTGTGAGTTAGTCCTAAGGGTTCCAGAACATTATATATATATATATATATATATATATATATATGGTATTATGTCGCCTCTGCTCTTACATTGAAATCCAAAGCAGGAGATAGATAGATAGATCTATATCTATATCGAGAGAGAGAGAGAGAGATTTATATCTATCTCTCTCCTGCCTTGGATTTCAATGTAAGAGGCGATATAATACCATCAGAGGGTATCAGATAGCTAAAATGAAAACACGTCAGCGTTGTGTTAATCAGTAGCTGGGCATAATGCGGGGGGAGAAATGATGTGAGTTATTAGCATGCTCCTCAGATCAGATGCATAGCTCACTGGAGACAATGAAGGTATCTGGCTGCCCTAGGCAAAGACGTGAACTGGTCCATGAAGGTCAATGTGGTGGTGTTACTCTTTTATTGTTCTCATTGTGTCACATTGTATCTCATTGTGTTGGTGTATGTCTGTCCCCACAATTTCTTCCTTTCTCTTTCCATGTGTTGCTTTCTCCAAAGGACTTACCTCTGATTCTGAATACTTGTCACTGTAGTAAGTATAGAGAGGCTGTTTTCTAAGCTCGCATACCATCACCTTGCGGGAGGTGGGATGCTTCTCACAGGGGAGATAGAGGGTGGGTGGGGAAACCTTCCAATATGTTCACAGCAGGGATGCAGCTCCATGGAAAAGCTTCCAAATGTGCTAGCTTTCAGTTCGCCAAGTATCAGTCTTTCGTTATATGGGAGACCAATAGGCACCAGTTTTCAAATGTTGGGCACCTTAATAGAACCTGCACGTTCTGCATTTGGCTGTTCCGATCAGCACTTAGGCTCAGAGGCAGGGTGGCCTATTGGACGGAGCACCAGCCCGGCACTTAGAAGATGTGGGTTCTATTCCTGGCTCAGCCCCTAGCCTGTTGGGTGACCTAGGGCAAATCACTTCCCCACTCTATGCCTCAGTTTCCCCCTTTGTAAAATGGGGATAATGCTACTGACCTGCTTTGTAAAGCACTTTGAGATCTACTGTGGGAAAGTATTACATGAGAGCAAAGCATTATTATTATTATCATCATAAATTCTATCTGTCGTTTCTCTAGAAACCCTCACCATTGTATGTAAGCACTGATACTTGAAAGTTTCCACTTTACCTGCCTGTGTGCTGATTTGACCATCCAACTGTGTAATTTAGACCTCTATTAAGATGCCGATGCCTCTCACTTCGGAGGGATTTTTAAGAAAGGCTCCTTTCTTATAGGCTGTTTCAGAAGAGTTGCTCTGACTTTTTCCTTGCTCAAGATTTTGAGAAGGATTTGTTTTTATGCCCCATTTTTATCTCCTGTCTCTCTTCCGCCCAAAGATAGTCCTGAACATTGTAAAAAGAAGCCAGCTGTAGCCTCAGGTCTTTGTAGAAGGAATCTCCCACCCTCAAAAGCACCGCACCAAGATCACAAAATCTGCTTAATGGACAAAATTCTGCCCAGGAGGGCTTGACAGTTTTCTTCTCGCCCTGTTCACAGAACTTTCGCTGAGCTCAGTGGGTAGCGTGAGCAGACAGCAAGTGTGAAAAATCAGGATGGGGGTGAGGGGTAATAGGCACCTATGTAAGACAAAGCCTCAAATATCAGGACTGTCCCTATAAAATCGGGACATCTGGTCACCCTATCAGTGGGGGATCTGTGTATGGGGGAGGAATGGAATATAGGATTCAAGATCTGCCGGGCAGATCTGAGACCAGAGCTTTGTCCTAGCTTACTGATTTCAAAACACCAGCGGTATGAGTTCAAATGGCCAGCATCAAAACTGGCCAGCAAAGCTATTTACGCTTGCTATAAACAGCTTTTCTTGCAGTTCTTCTGTCTTTTCCCCATTGCTTCCCATTGTGCACATCACTTTCCGCTGTTGCATACACAATTTGTGCCTTTAGTGTCCTAAAAGACAGCATGGGAAAAGGAAAGCTCTAAAATTTGATGAGGTTTCTGATGGTAAGTCATTACTGGGCTCGGGGCGGTAAAATGAAAAAAAAAATCAATGTTATAGATACTTGTAGGAATCGTTTCACCTAGCAGCTCCCTCTCTGCCACGCAGGAGACCAAAGTCTGGGCAGGTTTCAAGCCCCTACGCCATGTACATTTAAGGATATTACAGAGCGCAGGGTCTGGGGGTGATGCAGTGTTGCATTCCTCATGCCACCTAATGTGAGAGCGTCTTACAGAGGCAAAGATTTTTTTCAGAATTTTTTTTTACTCTTTTTTCCCACTACCAAAACAATTTGACGAAACTGACATCTCGGGAGGTGGGGCGGGGGTGGCAAATCTGGATTTTGGGGGGGGGGGGGGGGGGGGGAAGGGGGCAGAAAGCTGGAGCTGAAAAATTTCACCCAGCTCTATTGAATACACAGCCTGTCTGAGAGCTGAAGCTACTTTCTTTCTTCAGTCCTAGCCGGCTTATTACGCCTTTGCATTATTTCTTTATTTGAAAATGTGTGGCTGAATTCTTACTCTAGTACTTTCTCAGGACTTGGCACTGTGCTTCTCTCGCCAAAGTACTTCTCACGCCAGCCACTGACTGACATACCTTTGCGTAGTGACGGGTGTTACTGTTTTAAGTAGGCAAAAATCTAATGGCTTGGTGTAGTCAAAATTACAGATGGACTCTGGTCTGCTTCAGGTTTTGGATTTTTCTCGGCGCTGACCAATCTCCCGTGATGAGAGGGACGGAAGTAAGGGCTTGTCTACGCAGTGTGACAGACCCAGACCAGTGGGGTACAGGAGTCTGGTAGAGGGCAAATATACTGGTCACTGGATGAGTAGTTTTCTGTTCCCTGAGTGACCAGAGCAGGGGCTGCACTAGAGTAATCAGGAACCTGCTAGAACCAGTTAAGGCAGGCAGGCTAATTAGGACACCTGGAGCCAATTAAGAAGAAGCTGCTAGAATCAATTAAGGCAGGCTAATCAGGGCACCTGGGTTTTAAAAGGAGCTCACTTCAATTTGTGGTGCGAGTGTGAGGAGCTGGGAGCAAGAGGCGCAAGGAGCTGAGAGTGAGAGGGTGTACTGCTGGAGGAATGAGGAGCACAACCATTATCAGACACCAGGAGGAAGGTCCTGTGGTGAGAATAAGGAAGGTGTTTGGAGGAGGCCATGGTGAAGTAGCCCAGGGAGTTGTAGCTGTCATGCAGCTGTTACAGGAGGCACTATAGACAGCTGCAGTCCACAGGGCCCTGGGCTGGAACCCGAAGTAGAGGGCGGGCCCGGGTTCCCCCCAAACCTCCCAATTGACCTGGACTGTGGGTTCTTCCAGAGGGGAAGGTCTCTGGGCTGTTCCCCAACCCACATGGTGAATCTCTGAGGCAAGAAAATCCGCCAATAAGCGCAGGACCCACCAAGATAGAGGAGGAACTTTGTCACAGCAGGTATGAATGTAGAGTGCGCTAGCCTGTGGCACACTAAGTCATGACGTGGACTTGACTACCGCGCACTAAAAGTTCGGTGGTGCGCTTTGAGGAACGTCAAAGTGCACTCCGGAACTTGGCATGCATGGTAGTTGGGTCCGCGTGGTGACTTAGTCCACAGCAGGCTAGTGCACTGTACATTCAGGTGACCCTGGCTTGCCGTGTACTAAGGATATGTCTACACCTTAACCTGGGAGTTTGAGGAGACATACTCACCTCACCTCTCATCAAGCTAACACAGCGGCATGAGTGGAGGAGCGTCCTGGTGTCTTGGACGGCATTGGGGGCTGTGGAAGACCGTACTAGTGACTGGGACGTGGGCAGTCTGGCCTGGTAGGCAGCACAATGTTCAGGAACCAAAGATCAATGGACAAGTCCAAAGTCAGGAGCCCGGTGTCAGAGCCGAAAGTCAGACAGGAAACAGGAGGTAAAACCACGGATCAGGGCCTAGGGTTGGAGCCAGAGCAGTCAGAAACCAGAGCAACCGGGTTCAGGGACTGGAATGAGACCAAGCGCAGGAGCCGGGAACAGAGCAGGATCAAAGTCAGGAACCGAGGACGAGGCCAGGAGCCAAGTAGCGGACAGCAGGGTCTGTAGCAGCAGCAAGCCAGGATCCACCTTCTTGCACAGACCACTTCCTGTGTCTCTTTTTGGCTTCAGTAGCATACCCAGTCCAATCAGGGACTCCAGAGCATCTCCAGTCAGGTCCCTCTGGCTGGTGCACTTAGTGGAGTGTTACATCTTTGGGCTCCCAATTCCTCAGTCCCGGCTAGAGTTGTCAGGTGGTGGTGTGGATGCGGCACTGGCTGAGAGCCCACAGGTTCAAGATCCCAGGATCCTCACAGACAGATACGTACTCAGGGTGCCTCGTTGCAGCTGCAGTCTATTTTTAGCGCACGGGCTTGCTCAGAGATAGCACGGGTATGTCTCTTTGAGGATCCACTCCCCAGCTTGAAGGGTAGATGTACCCTGGGTCTCTGCGTAGAGAAGCACTAATGTTTTTTAAACTGTATTGCGTCTTGAGGGTCACCATCATTCTCACTGAGTTGCACTTAGTCACAGGAACAACCCCAGCAGAGACGGGCGCTACGCATTGAGTAAGTACCGCTCTGTGCTCGCCAGAATCGGGCTCTAAGTCAAGGAGCACTGGGTGGAGGTGCAGGCAGGCTAGGAGTCAAGCAAAGAGCCAGGCCTTACAAATGAGGGCAGCCAAGATTGGGGGTTGACTGCCTGATTCCAAATGTTCTCTGCACTGCAGGCTCTGAAAAGAAAGCTTCCTCCTCCGTGCCATTTCCTTTCTATCCCAAATCCTTATGGAATCATGGCGGGGATGCCTGCACAAAATGTATTCACTGTCTGAATTAACAAGGTTAATGTGTCCTTACAGCCAGCCTCTGGGAGGGTTGGAGGGGGGAGATCCAGCTTTCACCATACCACATATTATCCATATTTTGATGCTAGCTCTATCCCAGTGCTAGCTCTAAAACCAGCAGCTCGGCAAACACCAAAGCAGTCGTATCACTTTTTTAAACGTGGCCCATATTTGCCTACAGCAGTGGTTCCCAGACTTTAACAACCCGTGAACCCCTTTCACCAAAATGTGAAATCTCATGAACCCCCTCCTAAAAATGAATATTTCCAGGGATTTAAGTTTAAATCTCCTCAGTGTGATGCTAACATTCACTCACCTCTCACTGAAGCAAAACAGCACTCCAGAGAAAATGACTTAGTATCGAATTACTGAGGCACCTGAACGCTGCTACAGTGACTACTACCTGGTTCCAGCTGGTTTGGCGCGCAAACACTTTTTCTTCCACCACCAGGGCCATCCCTAGGAGGGTGCCCCGTGAGGGACAAATTAGCCTGGACCACCCCCCACGTACAGCGTAGCCCCTGCTCACTCTGCCCCTCATGCCACCCAACTTCCCATCTGCCAAAGACAGGGGTCCAAGCTGCCACCTGCGTGCCTGGGGTCCCAGCTGCCGCCCTGCCCACGATGGGGCTCAGGCTGCTGGCCCCTGCTGGCCGGGGTCTGGGCTGCCGGCTCTGCACTCCGTGGGGCTTGGGCTGCTGGCCCTCGCTGACTGCTGGGGCTCGGGCTGCTGGCCCCAACTGCCCGGCCCCGCGCTGCATGGGGCTCGGGCTGCCGGCGCCTCCGCTGACCGGGACTCGGGCTGCTGGCCCCGCGCTGACTGGGGCTCGGCTGCCCACTCAGGGCTCCACAGTCTGCTCTGCAATTGGGTCACACCTGCTGCCTCCCATGCCCGGGGTCCTCTGGCCGCCATTAAGGAAATTTTTCTGGCGAAACCCCTGTAACATTGTGCGAACCCCCAGGGGTTTGCGAACCCCAGTTTGGGAACCACTGGCCTACGGGGAAGGGGTGAAAGGTAATTTGTTGGCAAAACAGCCAGGGAGCAATATATTCATGATGAATATGTACAAAGGGAACAGCTGCTCCACTACGTATATTGCGTGGGCTTTACACAAGCTGTGACAAGTATCAGCCAAGAGTGCGGTCTAGCAATTAGAGCAGGGGATCCATGGGTTCTATTCCTCACTCTGCTTCTTACTTACTGCGTGACCTTGGGCAAGTTGCCTAAATGATCCATGATTCAGTTTCCCCATCTGTAAAATGGAGATCATACCGCATGCCTCACAAGGGTGTTGGGTGGCTCAGCACCTCTTTGTAAAGCCCTTTGGGATCCTTAGTTGAAAGGTGCTATGGAAGTCTGGTGTGTTAGTTATAATTATCTTAGTAAATCCAATAAAGAAATCTACGGGACAAGGGAAAAAAAGAGAGAGGGAGAGGAGAAGGAAGAGGAAAAGAGGCATGCATGCAATTGTTTAATTGCTTCTTCCCAGAACACAGCTTCCTGCGTTCATTGTCAAAGAGGATCATTCATTAACACTAGTTGCAAAAGAAGCCCTTTGCAAAACACCACACTCCTGTCTGTGTTTGTGGGTTCAGAGGGAAAAACAGCATGAGTGAGCAAATGGAAAATCCAAGTGCCTAGGTACCCTTAGCACTGTTTAAAAGTACTGGTCACTTAGCAGACAGGCTTCCAGGAGTTCTGACCATCCTTGGCCAATCTGCTCCTGTTGGGCACCATGTTTGCTTAGCAATAACCCCTTCTTCTCTGGAGTTCCATAGACGGAATTTGCAACCTCTTTTTCCCAGGGACGAAGTTGAGAGACTTCTGGTTTTAAACCTAGGCCAGATTTACGCGTAAGCCTGGTCTACACTGGGGGGGCGGAAATCGATCTAAGATACGCAACTTCAGCTACGAGAATAGCGTAGCTGAAGTCGACGTATCTTAGATCGACTTACTTCGCGTCCTCGCGGCGCGGGATCGACGGCTGCCGCTCCTCCGTCAACTCTGCTTCTGCTCTCACCCTGGTGGAGTTCCGGAGTCGACGGGAGCGCGTTCGGGGATCAATATATTGCGTCTAGACAAGACGCGATACATCGATCCCTGATAGATCGATCACTACCCGCCGATCTGGTGGGTAGTGTAGACATACCCATAGACTGACCTAGTTACCTTGCTCAGGGGCTCTGAACAATTTTGCACCTGGAACACTGTAATTAGATTGACCTCACCCTGGTGTAAACATGGCTAGGTTGACGGAAGGATTCTTCCGTCAGCCTCTCAGAAAGAGAACCTCTTCCACTGCTGTTGGAAGTGTCTACACCACGGTGCTACAGTGGCATAGCTTCAGCAGCATCGCTCTGCCACTGCAGCGGTTACCGTGTAGACATACCTTTAGTTTCGACTTCTAGCTCTGCCTGCATTCAATGAGGAAAAATGAAACCGAGGAGGCAACGTGAAGCACAAGCTCTTTCCCCGGGTCCAGGAGATGTGGGTCAGAGGATCCTTCCCGGCCATATTGTCTCAACCCATCAGTGTCCCATTTTCTCCCCATCACAGCAAGACTGCTCTGGCTTTTGTTGAAATCAAGGGCCAAATTCCCATTCAGTGGGAGCATGATAAGGTCTAGTCCATGTAAATACCATAGGCCTGATTCCCCACTGCCCTGCACCTCCTGTGCAAAGTGGATGAAACACACCACCAACTTCAGATCACGCCCACTTTGCAGAGATGTATAGATCCTCAAGGTGCACGGCACAGGAGAGCCAGACCCAATGGACTTACAATGGTGTCAGAGAGAAGGGAATCAGACCACGACAATGTCCTTGCCCCTTGGGCCAAATTCTGCTTCTATTTAAACTAGTGTCAAGCTAGAATTTCCTCATTGAAGTCACTGGTGGAATGATTATAGTAAGACCACAGGGCTAGCTCTAGGCAAGCTGGAAAATGCCCACTCCTTATTAGCCTGCAATCTCCCAGTCAAAACCACTTCGCAAAGCCAGGCGATCCGGCCCTGTAGCCACACAAAGTAGCAGCCCTTCTAGTGAGATTGGGGACCCTGCCTCCATAAATCCTCATGCCTTGTGTCTTTCTTTTGTGAAGGTGCTAAGACGGACACCAGCCAAGCCCTTGCCGATCCCACTGCTGCTGGAGAGGAGGCGCAGCCGGCAGCGGTGGTCGTGAACGGGAAAGATGACGACCAAACTGCAGAAGACACCCTAAGCAAAGGAATGAGCCAGATGACCACAACCACAGATGCTGACCCAGATGCCCCTAAGGACAAAACCGAGTCAATTACTAGTGGGCCTGTGTCCCCAGAAGGCTCGCCATCCAAATCTCCCTCCAAGAAGAAGAAGAAATTCCGGACCCCATCCTTCCTGAAAAAGGGCAAAAAGAAGGAGAAGGCTGAATCTTGATTCCTCTCCAGGCCTTCTCCTCCTGCTGCTTCCTTCCTTCTCCCCCACCCACCAAGGTCACCAGAACAGTAGAGGAAGCTGATAGCCAATAGCTGCCTCTCCTAGAATGGTTTGTGCTGAGATAGAACCAGAGGTTGAGGGTCCTGGAATGACTCCTGTGTAATACGTGTGGCTGAGACAACATCTAGACTTTGGGGGAAATGAGGCAAATTTTCTGGGTACTCATGGCGCGAGACGTATCATTCCCTGTTAAACCGGTTTTTGAAGAAGTAAGCGAGCTTAGGAATGATTGTGGTCCTTATTTTCTGCTCAAGGGAGCTAGTCACTAATTTCACAAGCTGTAAAACTGGTTCTCTGTACCAGTTCCTCCTCGTCACAGCACTAATGCTCCAAACCATTTATCTCCTGTGGGCTGAGGTTTTTCCACATGCTGCTACCTTTACAGCCATGTGGCCACCTTTTAGAAATAATTTGGTGCAAGAAAAGACCCTCGTGAAACAGGAGGGGACATTGACAATGATTGATTCCCTTTTTCCAGTTCTGCAGTGGAATCCTGGCTAATTACAGTGTTGCAATTCGCTGTATAATCTCAAATGGAGACGATCCAATTTTATCAAAACCCAAAGGTGAAGGATTGCTGTCCTAGAAGGAAGGGTCAGGCTGTGGACCCATGACCTTTTGCTTCCTGGGTGACTACCTTACACCTAGGTCAACAAGCCATTTTCAAGTTCCTTTCTAGCCAGAATGGTGACACCAAGTTATCTAACGATCCATTTGCTGCAGTAGTGAAGCCTCTTGGAAATGACTCTTATGTCTCAGTCGGTGGGGATGTACACAAATCCCTCCCTCACAATAACACACAAGATAACGTGTCCCACTATAAATATAGTGGTAAGAGCGGGGAAGGAAAAAAGCCTCCGGGAACTCTCTATGTTAAGTTTAAGAAGCAAGAAAATTTCAGTCACTAAGTGCTATTTTGTTAGTTTGGAATAAATGCACGCTGACGATATCACTCCTGTAATAATCACTCCAGAATGAAAAGCCTATAGAAAATGCGACTTCACCCCCACTTGCTGCGCTACTAATTAATTACACTTAGATGAGGCTGTGATGCAGATATGAGACCTGTTAGCACTTTTCATTGCATTCGGCATCCACTGGCTCAGCACATGCCATTCTGGACTGGCAGTGAAGAGGGGTTGTGAGTGCATTCCCTCTTCCCCACCCGCACCCTCCCACCAACCCCGCCTCCAGAGTGAAAATGAAACACGAGTTCACACCTGTGACATGTTATTGCCAACTGGCTTAACCTGCCCCCCCCCCATCTCTAACCTTCACCCCCTCTTCAAAATAAGACAAAGTTACCAACAGATAAGGATTATTACAATTTACAATCAGAGAATCATAGAAATATAGGGTTAGAAGGGTCATTGAGAGACCATCTGATTCATCCCCCCATGCTAAGGTAAGATTAAGTAAACCTAGACCATCCCTGACAGGTATTTGTCCAGCCTGTTCTTAGAATCCTCCAATGATGTAGATTCCACAACCTCCCTCGGTAACCTGTTCCAGTGCTTAACCATCCGGATAGTTAGAAAGGTTGAGCTAACATCTAACCTATCATGCCGCAGTTAAAGGAGATAAACAGGCCAATGTTCCTCTGTCAGTTTGAGGACTCTGGCATTAAAGGTGCTAACCAAATGAGATCTTGATCTTGCCCCATTGAAACAGGATTTCCATTGGCTTAAATGGGAGCTGGATCAGACCCCGAAGGCTTAAGGTCACTGTTCTCAAACAATGGGCTATTGTTAGTCCGCAGAATGGCACTTGGAGAACCACGTAAGGGAGTGGGGTGGGGGTGTGTGTGTTGAGAAACTGGGAAAGAGGTGGTCCATGGAGAAATCTTTCTCTGTCATCAGGTCCACAGAATGGAAGGCTTGAGAACAACTAACGTAGAAGGATATTGTAGTCTGTATACTGACGCAGTGTTCTGGGTCAGGCTCATCGCTAACGTCTACCAGTAGTTCTATAAGATCAGGAAGCGAGGCCTCTTTCTGTAGTGGCCTGGACTTGAAACCGTGACGCTGAACGCCAATGAAGTTTGGATTTGGATGTGATTCCGGATCCATAATTTGTGAGCCGGATCCATCTCTGCCTGTATGAAGCAAACTGGTTGGAAAAATTCTGATAAAAAAGCAACAACTTTCATTGTGGGGTTTTTTTTTTTTTATTTTTTTTTTATGTTCCAACCCTGTGGTTTTCAGAGTCTCATTGGTGCTGGAATGAGGCTGTGGGGTCTAGTGGTTAAAGCACATGACTGCATCTTAGGAGACCAGGGTTCTATTCTCAGCTCTGGCCTGGTGGTTGACCTTGGGTTAGTCTCTGCACCTCAGTTTCCCCTATGTGCTTTGAGCTCTGCTGTTGAAAAGTGCTATATGTGAACGCTAGGTATGGTTATTTATTATTCCCCTTCACAATAACAGAATCTGTTCAGGCAAAATGTCCTTGAAATAATCTTTTTTTAATAAGGCTGTTGTGGTGGGGAATCCAAGAACGTGCATTCCAGCAAGATCCATACTGAGAAAGTAGCTGATGCATTTTCTTCATAGGGTAGGGACTAGGGAATCAGCTCCACAATCTTGCATCACGATTTGCCTTAATACAGAACTTTGGGGTGATTCGCAATTTTTAATAAGCACCAAAATCTTGCTTTGCCACCTTTTTTTGGGGGGGGGAGGGGTAGGATGGAGGGGAAGATATTTTGAAAACACAAGTTATTTTTATTTTAAAGAGCAAGTTACTAGGTGTGCTTGGCAAATGTGGAACACAGAAAAAAAATCAACAAAAAAAACCTCAACAGCAAAAACTCCGGACCTTTTAGATATGTGCTCTTGGTGTTCATGTATGCTAGATAAATTAAATCCAGGTCCTTAAGGTTAGCTGTGCTTAAGTTTCTGTTGCCTAAATCCATTGTATGCACGATGGGCAGATTTTGACAAATTAAAGGCCCAAACCTATAAATATTTACTGTTGGATGTTGTGCTTATTAACATTAGATTTTAAGGCCAGAAAGGCTCATTATGACCATCTAGTCTGAATTCCTGAATAACACAGGCCAGAGAATTTCACCCCTGAGTGATCCCGGGGAGTCAATGGTTATTATTGACCATGATGTCTTATTGTTATTTAATATCTGAATTACAACCCTGCCCAGAGGCCCATGATCCGGATTGGGGCCCCATTGGACTAAGTGCTGTATAAACATAGATGAAAGTGTGGTCCCTGCCTCCAAAGAGCTTGAAATCTTGGGTCCTGCTTCTGCAACAGATGCCACAGATCCATGTGAAGGGGTCCGTCTATGTGGTGTCAGTCACAGTACTGGGCCTAAGACCTCAGTCCTGCAGTCAGATCATGTGGGGTCTCACAAATTCCAGGGGGGCTTCACATGAATGCGCACACACCATGTGGATCAGACTGCAGGACTGGGGACTAGAGTGGTGCCTGAGTCTTATGCTGAGGTGAATTCCACCCTTAGTACAATTAATACATGGGGCAAAATTCAGGCTTCATATAGCTAATCAGCTCCATTGACTTCCTTATTTGTTACTTGTACTGGAGCTGCATCCGTTTACACCAGCTCTGATTTTTGCCCTGTGGTGTGTCCAGTTTTAAGGTCTGGCGCTGGGTGTTGGGCACCAAAGAAGAAAAACATGAGCCAACGGTCTGCTCCGTGCAAAGGCAAATGTTGAGATGGGTGACCGGGTAAGCCAAGAAGGGCCATGTGAGGAACATGTAGGTTAGAGACATACTCAAAGAAACAGCCATAAACAAAAGAACGAGGGAGTGCAGGCTCAGATGGTTTGGTGATGTAAAGCGCGGTCTAGACAACTATGTGGGTAAGAGAATCCAAGAGATCAAGACTGAAGGGAAAAGACAGTGAGGCTGACCCAAGAAGAAATGGTGGGATGTCATAAGGGAAGATACAAAAACAACTAGGAATCCGGTGGCACCTTAAAAACTAACAGATTTATTTGGGCATAAGCTTTTGTGGGTATCTGAAGAAGTAGGTTTTTTACCCACAAAAGCTTATGCCCAAATAAATCTGTTAGTCTTTAAGGTGCCACCGCACTCCTTGTTGTTTTTGTGGATACAGACTAACACGGCTACCCCTGATAAGGGAAGATGTTAGTTTGTGGTGTGATAGAAGCTAAGGGATTGAGCAAAGTGCTTTGGAGAGAGAGGACACCTAGAGCGGACCCCATATGATGGGATTAACACCAGGAAAAAGAGGAGGTGTGTGTGTGTCTAAGTCAAATATATAGGTGCATAGAGCTAGGCTTAATGTCTGAAAAAATCATGAGCAGAGGCAAAAGTAATATGGCTCCTCACATTTTATTTACAAGAAAATAAAGAAAGGCTGAAAGCTAAGTTCTTGGAACATCTCAAGCCACCATTCCCCCAGATGAGTAAGAGGTTCGCAACTTGGTCCTAAGACTTTTTACTTTTCTTCTTTTTCCTCTTTCCAATCTGACCCTTTTGCGTCTCCTCTCACCCCTTCTATTCTCCCCTGCTTTCCTCCACTTTTGTTTTCTATCTGCCATCTTGGATATGTTTGTAGATAGCACCAGGGCCGATTGCCACATCCTTCCCACTCCTCCTGCTGTAAGATTGGTGTCAGCTTGACATGCGCCTAATTCAGAGCTGTATTTTGGGTATAGACACCAGTACCACCAAAGTTAAGGGATGTTTAGATCCCGTGTTCTTGCTGGACCTGTCTCTAGCAGAGATGAAACCATTCCAAACCCCCTGACCCAAATACCCCCAAATTTTGCAGTCTGGGACTGGGGATCATCTTTAATCTTACCAGTCTACTAAATTGCAGGCTGCATGGCTTTTATCACACGAGGCAGCAAAGGCCAAAACCCAACATACAAGATCAAGTATGATGAGATTCTGAGCCACGAAAAGCAGCACGAAATCAAGATAAATCTCTACTCCTT